GGTTACTGTGGATTGGTTTTCAATTGTAAGTACGATTCCCAGGATGGGGAGGTTCTTCCTCTCGCTCTTGTTGTCTCAATCCAAACACATCGACTGATGGGTATGGCGGAGAGACATTTTCAATGTTTCAGAATCAGGCGCCTTCGAAGCTACATTCGTCACGAATCCGAAGGTATCGATGCAAGAGGCCCAAGAATTCATGAAGGTACGGAGATTCTGGCCTCTAGATCTTGTCTACGGCAGTACGATGTACAGAGCAAAGGAAAAGGCTAACGAGGAGCACACGATAGATGGGATACATCGCCGAACATTTATTCACCATCGTCCTCACCTTGGTCAAATTCAGCATCCTATCCTTCTACTGGACGATCTTCTCCGTCAACAGGCTACAAAAGAACCTCATCATCGGCACCGCAGTCCTCTGCGGATGCTGGTTCATCACCTTCTTCATCATCTTCCTCGTGCAGTGTCGGCCAATCAGCAAGCTGTGGTCATCATTTGGATCTTCAGAGTTCTGCCTGTCGATGCCCGAGCTGCTCCTTGGGTTTGAGCTCACCAACCTATTCATCGATGTGGCCATCCTGCTAATCCCGACGGTCATGGTCGGGAAACTGCGGTTGAACGCGATCAAGAAGGTCTCGGTGATGGGCGTTTTCTTGCTTGGTGCAATGTGAGTAACGCCATTTGGGATTCACCACCTTGTCCCTTGTCTCCGCGTATAGAGTGCTAAGATATGACAGGGTTTGCGTCACCAGCATCGTTCGACTGACAGCTATCTGGAACCCACCAAACGTTTTGGAAAACTGTGAGTGTTGCCTTCCGTATGCATCGGCCGTCAATGGAGTATCTCACAAGCAACAGTCGATACCGCCAAGGGAATGCTCTGGTCCACGCTCCAAGTGGGAATGGCCATTGTCTGCGCGTGTCTCCCGACATTCGGCCCCATCTTCTCTGGTAAGAGTAAGTTCGGTAGTCATGCCAAGAGCTGGTACGGATCACTACGGGACAAGCGGACACAGAACTCTGGATACAAGATGTCGGATAACCAAAGTTCAAACGGGCGGCCCTGGGCGGATGACGAGAACAGGTTTCACGCATCGTCCAGGGGCGGCTGGCGTGCTCAGGATGACAACGCGCATGAGACGGATTCTGATCATATTCCCTTGGACCCCTTACCCCAGAAGGGGATCCGTGTACGGAAAGACATAGATGTGAATTAGAGTGCAATGATGATGGGGTTGGGGTTCGTGGTTTCCACTCCAGTTCCATATATTTTGCTTGTTTTCTCCTGATTTCATCTCGGCAAACACTGCAGACAACGCAAGAGAGTGGCATGGTAGTATTTCTGTATTATTGAACTGCAAGGTGGTACCGGAACCACGTGTGCATACACCCGCATGGAGCACACCCCCCTTCGAGGAAGCTCCGAACAGAAACCCTCCGTAGCTTAGTCACAGAACCAGGCCTCATAACCTTGCTCAGTCCAGGCTCGTAAAACCCTTAAGGGTCCTTATCCTTGTCTGCCATGCGGACCAGGAACCGAGCTGTAAAGGCTAACACAAGCGAGAGAGTATCATCATGCTGGGTTTCTTTCCTGACTCCAAGACATAACTCGAGAGTCCCGCCACCTTGATTTGGAAGATGTAGCTGGAAGGAGTTTCATCGTTCACTCGCCGTTGCGTGACCAACCTGTGATCTGAAGCGGCAGTTCTCCATCATGTCCGAGCCTCTGCTGTCAAAGCAGCCATTCAAGGCGCTGGCCCAGGCTGGCCTCTTCTTTGCCCTGCCTCCCTACCTGATCTATGCCATCCTCCGTAACAGCATACCCTCCCTTCGCATCGAGCCAGAATGGTCCTTCCGGACGAGTCTCATGGTCGGGATCATGCACCTCCAGTACAGCCTCACAGCCGCCACCCGAAACCAGCTCCCCGAGCAGCTGAAAGCCGGCAAGTCGGGTGAATACGTGCGCATCCCCCCTCCCGACGAAGAAGTCGTCGTCGGCGTGGCCTCCAGCACCGTCGTAAAGACAAAATCCCAGCCGGGAGTCTGGTACCCGAGCGCACCCCCTCCCGAGACGGCGCAGGACGAGAAGGTCCTCCTCCACTTCCCCGGCGTCGCCTTCGTCATCGCCGTGCCCTCCGACTTCCTCGGCCCCGTGATCTCAAAGGATCTGCCCAAGGCCATCGGGGCGACGAGGATGCTGTATGCGCAGTACCGCCTCGCCCGGGACGAGGAATCGCGGTTCCCCGGCGCGCTGCTCGACGCCGTCACATTCTACAGCCACGTGCTCTCGCTGGGCGTCAAGCCGGCCAACATCATCGTGTCGGGCGACTCGGCGGGGGGGACGCTCGCCCTCACGCTGCTCCGGTACCTCCAGACGTCCGGCTGCGGCTTACCCCTTCCCGCGGCCGTCCTCGCGTGGTCGCCGTGGGTGGACATACCCGCCGACGCGGGCGCGGCGTTCACGAGGGCGCGGAACAGCCCCAAGGAGATCCTCAACGCCGAGGTCCTCCAGTGGGGTGCGGACGCGTACCGGCCGCAGGGGGAGTTGACGGACGAGGTGGAGGCGTACGTGAACCCGCTGCATCGGCCGATTGAGACGCAGGTGCCGCTGTTCCTGCAGGCGGGGGGCAGCGAGGCCTTCATGGACACGGTGGCGAGGTTTGCCGAGGAGCAGGTCAAGATTAATGGGAGGGAGTCGACGAGGTTCCATGAGTCGCCGTTTGGGACGCATGATATGCTGGCGTCGCATCATCTGGTGGGGATCACGGGCGAGAACGAGGCGGCGATTGCGAAACTGCGGGAGTATCTGGCCGAGGTTGGAGTCTGGGTCAAGCAGTGATGATGCTCATGATAATCGTGGTGAGAGGTGAGAGGTAATGGCAGGTGTTTGTGTATGAGCGAGAGGGGTCTTGGGCTTATCTAATTTGAGCAAGATTTCATATACCCAACATTACAGGAAATGAGGCAGGGTTCAGTTTTGAGGATTCATGAGAGGGGCATTGAAAAATTGTGTGAACATCAGTTTTATTCCTCCTTGAGGTTCCTTGAAACTCCAAAATAAATACATACACAGCCTAATAACCGGCTTTCCTGGTGCCTCCCATGATATCATATTTACCCAAACGCCATCATCCACGTTTAAGGGGAAGGGGAAGAAGAAGGGAGAAAAATTGACAAAAGAAAAAGAAGAAGAAGAAGAAAGAAATGCTTCATCTCGAAGAAGCCAGTCTATGTTCAGAGATGAGCCAGAGTTGAAGTTGGTGCCGTCCATTTCCTCGTTGTGGTATTTGGGAGGATCGGCTTAAGAAGACTTGCGCTCAGCCTCGCGGTCGCGCCCTGGAAGCGCGTGGATACGGGCACGGGAGGGCTCATGGCCGTCCTGCCAGCTGTGCAGCTTCTTCTTGCTGCCCCAGAAGAAACTCCAATTGTCCTTGTTCGTCTTCTTGTGGTCGTGGCCTGGAAGGGCGTGGATGCGGGCTGTCGACGGCGTTCCTCCCCTCATGCCGCTGTGTGTCTTCTTGTCGCCCCAGTGGTCGCCAGTTATGACGTAGATGCGATCCCCTCCATTGACCGAGCGCTCATCTTCTTCGACCTCGTCGTCTCGTTGTGCCATGGCCTCGACAATGGATTCGATGGTGTCTGCTCGTGAGACAAGCGCAGCAGTCTTGTCGATGGGGGCGGCGACGGCGAGGCCCAAGATGAGGGCCGCTGCCAGGCCGAGTTGGTTGACTGCGACCATTTGTGGCTGTTCTTGATTGTTGACAGGGTAAAAGGTGTCTGTTGGATCGTGGTGTACAGAAATCGGATCAGTCTGAATGCAGACGATTGATGCAGGCAATATCAGTGAGATGGTTGGATGTAAAGTTTAGACGCGACAGAGCAGCGCGAAGCTGCATCAGCACACCAACTTATTTATTATCCCAAGCAGCTTGACTGCTCCTTGGGCGAGCGGCAGGAATGACTGGCGGGCAGCTCCAAAGCCTGGATCCTTCGTCAATGCGTGGCTATTTTAAGCTCGCTCACCCCATCTTTAGCGGCACATCGCTGTCAGATTCGATTCCAGCCCTCCTGCCCGCCTATCAGATCATCATATTGCTGAGTTTAAATTCGGCCATCAGAAACCACGATGCATCAAAAAATATAAAACTAACTAATCGGTCAGTCAGTTCACCAGACGAACCAAGGCATCCAGTGAGCAGAGTTCGATTGAGTTCATTGTATTCAGACTTCCGTCTCAAACTCTCTTCTTGTCACCGTGTCAGCGCGGCCCCACCACCGTCCATTTTGGGGAGTATTACGAGAATCATCACTGATCTGACTTCCAACTCAACCAACACGCCAAGGTGCGACTTCCGCAGCAGCCGACGCAGAGAAGGTATGTTAGTTTTCCTAGATATCCAGAGTCAACATATATAGTTATTATTCAAATGAATAAAAATTTGGTGAATAATAAGGTTGTGTGAATGAAAACGGGTTGGACCAATCACGGACTTTTCAATGATAGGTTTAATGTTCAGGTATTTGTGTGAATAAGGGATAAAATGTGGTATTGCATTAGCGCTCTAGTTTTGAGGAACAAAAAGAAACCCGTTCGATAGAGTTTTCACTAAAATTCACTACACCAACTCAATAAACTATCATCTTCAGGATAACATTGCTAAAGCTTGGGATATTCTTGGATAAGACATGGTTGATGTTATGTGTAGGGTAGGTAGCCCACGAGCCCCTGGCGGCTATTTCTGGCCACATCTAAAGCCCCACATGGTTCAAGTTCTCAGGTCAGGGAAGCGGTAGTACTCGGGAACAGCCACAACGCCACAACGCCACAGCAACCTGAACATTGAACCGAGCCAACTCCACCAAGTACAGCATCTATCAATATGTCGACAAAACACGACAGATGTTGTGATACTGGAAGCGACTGATTCAACATCAACGTCGGTATATCTTACGATTCAAGACTAAATCAAAATTTTGATAATGGCTCGCCTACAATCATGCGTCTCCCTAATCGTGTTGCATTCGCTAGCGCTTCTTCCAGTACATCACACCACATGCTAACTTCAACACTTGCTTTGTCAGGTCTCATCATTTATGGCACTGATCGGACAGTCTTTTGCTCCATTCAAAACTATTTGACCCTCAAATCGCGATTAGTTTACCCGATCCAGTCTGAAATCTAGCCATTTTACATCATCATCATCTAGTATCCATGCACCTCCACCAACTCCGCGGACTTGGTACTGCCGGCGGAGTTGCGATCGCTAGCGCAAGCTTCGCTCAAGCTGCGAATGCCGAGTCTTCGTATGAAACAGATCCTGATTCGTCGCCACTGGTATCCAGGGATACCTTTCGTAAATTGGCAAATGGCTACCCTAGTTCTGTTTATCTCGAGTACATGTATGCCTTTGGCTCGGACCTCGATCAACTCAAGAATGCCGAATTCACATCTACCTGAACTCTAATTCGTTGTTACATTCTTAGCGAAACGGCCCTCTCATCGTCATCTAACAAGCTATGCAGTCTCGGCCATCATGAGCGAAGATTTCCTGGACTTCGGACATCGTGGATTTGCGAGGCAACTATATAAATAATGATAGGTCTACAGTTGATAGCATCCCATTATCAAACACAGAAAACTCTTGAACTCGATTCCATTTTACTCAATTAACAATGGCCCCTCGGTATATCAACAAGCTCCAGGATCAGCGTATCCTCATCATCGGAGCCTCGACAGGAATCGGTTTCGCCGTCGCCGAAGCAGCTGTCGAGCACGGCGCACACGTTATCCTCAGCAGCTCAAAACAGGAGAAAATCAACCATGCCATCCAGAAGCTTGAGGCCCATATCAAGGAAAACCAGCTCCCGCCACGCACCATCTCCGGAGCTGAGTGCGACTTGGCCAACCCTTCAACCCTCGAGGACAACATCAAGAACCTCCTGGAATTTGCGACCAGGGATGGCAAGATTGATCATGTTATCTTCACCGCAGCGGATGTTTACCAGATGCCTACCATAGAGAACGTCACGGTTGAGAGTCTATCCAAGGCCGGAATGGTCCGCGTCACGGGGGGCGTTATCCTCGCAAAGCATCTGCCAAAGTACATCAACCAGAGTGACAACAGCTCGCTCACATTAACGGGTAGCACAACCTATATCCGCCCAAAGGCTGGATGGTCCGTCATCAATGCTGCGAATAGCAGTATAGAGCCGTTTGCTCGGGCTCTGGCGGTAGACTTGCAGCCTATCCGCGTCAACTGTGTTCTCCCGGGGTTCATCAAGACCGAGCTCTTTGACGGCTTCCCAGAGGAGGCGCGGCCATTCATGTTTGAGGCGATGAAGAAGGAGGCTCTTCTCGACAGAGTGGGCACTGCGGCTGAGACTGCGGAGGCCTACTTGTACTTCATGAAGGCTGCTTTCACTACGGGAACAACGGCCATCGTCGACGGTGGCAGACTCGTAGCCAACAACCAGGAGGGCAGAAAGGCTTAAGACTTACCGCCCGAGTTTGTGGCCATAGTGTGTGAATAGCGATTATCTACTGCTCCGTCAAGGTAATCTAATCCTGAGAGAAGGCCATGGTGCAATCCCCTCTGTTCTATTCCCTCTAGGTCTTATTTCCTGAAACGTTGGATAATTTCTCTGCTCGCATATCTCGATTAGTTTAAACTGCACCTAAAATCTCATGCTTTTGGCACTGCATCTTGGACTGAGACGGTTTTAAGTCAAATATACTTTGATACACTATGTGCAGGTTTCAAATACATACAAAAATTCCACCAAATGTGTGAAGTATATCTTTTCTTTTTGTGATTTTTTCGAGTTTCACTTTGACCTTGACTTTGAAATCAGGTTTAGAAGAACATCCTACAAAGAGCTCATCAAGCTCACAAATAGGACTTAGTTGCGGCCAGAGTCCACCCTGTAAGGCGGTTCGCAACATCAGTGACATAGCAAGGCTCAGAAGAGTAGCCATTGTTAAGATTGGCATAGTCAACCGAACCGCTGTTGTACATCCGAGCGCATAGAGAGCACGGCTTCCAGTAGATCCAATGATCTTTGAAGTCTTGGCGAAGGTTTGCTTCAAGCCATCACCAGAAGAGGTACCCGTGCTACCATCACGGATCATTTGAGGAACCTTGGCCTGAGAGCAAAGGTTAACACCAGCGCAGGTGTGCGTGGGTTGACACTGCCACCAGTTTTTTAGTATAAATGGACATGAACCGTTAACGTGGAGATGTGAATTGCACACTAGAATTTTTCCCATGGTCATTGAAAAAAGGTAAGCTGAGAACCATAGTGTATTACGACCTGTTATCACACTGCTGTGTAAGTCGCCTTGGGCTAACACCGCGTAGTGTCCTCCATCACTATCAACTTCGTACGCGATGACTACGGACCAGAAATGGAAGCGATTCAAAGAAAACTCCCACCGAATGACGCGCGTGACTACTCCCATCACCTGTTCGTGTCATAGCTCGGAGGTGGCAGTTGGCAATTCCATACACTGCCCTTGGTACCACTTATCCACCAGCCGCTGCATCTGTCAGTAGCCTGCTCGAGATTTCGTCCTCGGCTTCTTTGACGTCATCAACTAACTCTTCCGCTCTAAGAGCAGTGTCAACAATCTCATCAGCGCTAGCCACATATCATACAAAGTTGCTCAGCAACCTCTTTATTGAAGCCGGCGTCGATGGAGCTGGCTGTATGGCCCATGTGTCAAGCCTGCGACCAATCTATTAGATGCCTGCTGTCTTGATATAAATTGTGGTCCAACACTGGTAAAAGTCTACAAGGCACGTGTCACCTCTCAAATATAATCGTGAGAGGTTTCCGTGTACATTTAATGCCGTTCTACCCAGTAGACTGCTCAATGGCCGGAGACAAGTGTATTCCTCAAATAGTTTGACTAGAGGATCGAGCCGATCATCCGCAAATTTGCTCAGGACAGCTTCGACGAAGCGGTTGGGTGATAATCGGGCACCCACCCGGCCATCAATCCGTAGCTTGTATCTCCTCGGCGATTTCGCCATGAGCGAGCTGATAATGAGAGCGCTTCGCCAATCACAGATGGGTAAAATTAAATGTCATTTTGTTTAGTGGGAAAACGGGGCGGCGTCGTTTCCAACTCTCGGCGTTCGGTGTTCGGCGTCTTGCTGGTGGATGATAACGCCTGCTTCTGACATTCCGGGCGGTTTGTCCCTTCATCCGGGATGGGACAAAACAGGTTTAGCAATTTCATTACTGAATCATCCCTGCATTGATTATGCACACTTGCGGCTCCATCGATCCGAATCGCAGAAGCTTAAGTGGAAGGTTATTTCCTTCTAGGCTCACGTTCCCAAGAGGGAAGATTTTCCCGCTTTGTGGACAACGAAAAAGATTAGGGTGCTAGGGAAAGAAATGGGGAAACGAGTGGAGAGGATGAGAGCACGGAGGACTCCAAATTGCTAATTGGAGACATGATGACTCCTGGGTCAAATCCTCTTCGATTGGCCTTGTAGCTGGAGCAATGCAGTTGTGTGTGTAATGCTTGTATTTTCAACCCTGTATGTCCATTCTAATCTATTTTCTATGCCGGTCTAATTATTTTTATCTATTTCGTTTATTCATTATGATGATGCTTGCTGTGCAGTGGAAGGCAGGTCAATCTTGCTCTCTTCATCTGACGTGACCGCCTTTGCTCGGCCACCCAGGATCCCCGGGCTTGCCTCATCAGCACCCATGGTGGACTCGGTAACCAAGTACATCCACCAAAAGTAAACACCGCAGAACAGGCTGCCTCCAATGATGTTCCCTAGAAGTGCAGGGATCATACCTGAGGACAATTGGTCAGTCGCGTGCAAAAACTGGTTGATTGAAATCTTGAAACGTACCCTTGTAAATGTACAGTCCGACGGTCAAGCCGGGGGTGCCCATCCAGATACCGAGCGGCATGAAGAACATGTTGGCCACGACGTGGTCGAACCCGAGAGCCACGAATGCGAAGATGGGCAGCCACATGCCGGCAATCTTGGAGACCATGTCCTTGGCCTGAGTGGCTAGGAAACAGGCCAAGCACACGAGCCAGTTGCATCCAATGGCGCGGATGAAAATCTGGTGCCATTGAGGGTCCAGTTGCTTCTTGGTTGCGAAGGCAATGACCTCGTCCTTGTAGATCTTGGCATCGAAAATTCCTCCATCTTTTATTGGATGTTAGAACTCATACTTCTTCAAGTAAATGTTTCATGTTTTATCTTGACATGACTAGAACTTACATCCAACGATAATTGCCATTACGAAAAGCGAGCCGAGGAGGTTTCCAAAGAAGCAGAGGAACCAGTGGAGCAACATTCTCCAAGCGGGGAGTCTTCTGTGAAGAACAGCTACAGCGGTAAACTAGAACGATCGAATTAGAATCGAGGATTGAAATTCGATTACTGATTATCGAAAAAGACTCACCATGTTCGTCGAGGTAAATAGATCAGCACCCGTCAACACAATAACCACCAACCCCAGAGGGAAGACAAAAGCGCCAATCAGCTTGATCAGACCGGGGGCATTCTCCTGGAACCATGGCGCCGTCATGGCCGTCAACGAGACGGCACATCCGAAGCTAAGAATACATCCTGCGGAGATGGCAGAGAGGAAGACCTTCTCGGGACGCAAGTGACCCTTCTGGACGCCAATGCGGCAGACGAGCTCGGCAGTTTGGGCTGGCGTGTAGGCCGCGGAAACCGTGACCTCGGGAGTAAGGTTAGACATAGCGATGAGAAATGGAATGAAGACGATGGTGAGCGGATTTTCGTAGACTGTGGAGGCCAGTTACGGGGCTTTTATCTCGACTGATCCCCAGAGCTGGGGGCTTAACTCGGGGGAGCTCGGCGGTTGGGGGGCTGCCACAAGCCAAAGGTCCACCCAGAACATGCCGAATTTCATCGAGGCAGCAATGACGAGAGGGCGAGCAATGTGAGAGCCTTATCTCTCCGATGATAAGGTCGAATTTTGCAGCTTGGCGGCGAAAATTCGCGATAGCTGGGATCCGCCACTAGGTGTGTTAGCGGCGGACCGGCCCCCGTCTGGATGGAGTCATTAGTTCTAGGCCCTGATTCAGTCAGTGTGAGCTCCTTTCTTCCGAGCCCTGCAGCTTGTTTGACCTGCCATATGCCCGTTGTGGTGTCATGGTGGACTTGGATGGCTGTCGTGTGGTCATGTGGTTGACGTAGCTCGATTTCCCCTTGACATCAGTGCCAGTGGCGTTGGGGAAAGGCTATCTCGTGCGGGGATTGTTGGAGTTCAGGAGTCAAATTGGAGAAAACTAAGCAGCATGAATTTAGAGTAAGCTCAATGCACAGCAGGGTTATGAAAGCTTGGCAAGGGTGGATGTAACCACAGACACTCAGACACACACTCCTCACAGGCGTGATCTGAGATCCATGCTGCTGCTAGTTGCAATGCTCGGCCGATAATGCCATCAGGACCGGGAGCCTTGTACGGTGAGGTTTTGTGTATTGCTCGTTTTACTTCCTGTTCGCTCATGGGTAGCAATGATATCCGGTCTGAGTACAATGTATGTTGTTCTTTCGATTCTCCCGAGGTTTGTCTCTTGCGGAATAGGAATGAATGCTTTTCGGAAAATTTCGGCCTTTTATACTGGCTCTGATTAAACACCCTTCGGATGTTGTAAGGTGGATGTTACCTCTGGTGCTTGCGTGTTCCTTGGCCCACTTCACTATTCTCTAGAGAGACTCTGGCGATGCTGATGCTTTCTATACGTTCTCTCCATGGGCCCTTCCAAGTGCTTTCTTGATTGTCCTGCCTTTGCGGTTCCTGGACGCTCGATACACCTCTTATGTTTCTTCTCTGTGGTACAGGCTATAAAGTTGCTTGGCTTACACATCTCGACCTACTCTAGACCCCGTCCCTTGTCAATCGCCAAATCATTACACCAATTGATCTGACATACCAAGACGAGTGATAAGTTAGGTGCACAGTTCCCTATAGTATCGTCCCATCTGAATGTGTTTCTCCCCTTACGCAAGTACACATACTCAACTCTTAATACCAGCGCAAGACTAAATCCTTCTCATCCGATCCGCCCCATCTAGGATAACTACTCTCTCGATTAGGGGTTCTTTGTTCAAAATTTACTATTCCAATAATAAGCCAGTGTCCTCAGCCACCTCGCTCATTTTCCTTAGACATTGGCTAGCATGTATCTCAATGTTTTCCATTCCACATTGCTTTAGCTCTTCAAGTCGCTGAACCCAGAATTTCCAACGCCCAGGACTATACCCCAGCGGGATAGAGCCATCAAGGCTAGCTTTACTAGCTAGCTCCCCTAGACTAGATAGTTGGGGGAAGCTCGTATAGTCAACTTTGTCAGTAGTTGATCTATTGCTAGCAAGGAGAGCAAGGCCGATATTAGCGCACTCAATTGCTTGCGCCAATGTCTGCAAGCGGTCCTCAAATGACTGCATCCTTGCGCCATCGTCACCATCAACCGTTGTTGTAAGTGGCCGAGGGGTCTCCAGAGCCTCTCGAAACAGTGACAACATGCAGATAGCAGGTCCATGGAAGATTCCAACAGAGACTAGCCTCCCGACAAAGGTAGCTAGGTTAAAGGAGAACTCGGCGCCATAGTTGGGTTGATGGAAGCGTTGCGTAAACTCATCGATAAGAGTGACAGCGAACAGAGGCAGCTCGGGCCAGAATGTGCGACCATCTAAGAAGGTGATTGGTTGATCTGCGTTATGGGCACTGAGTGTCTGCGAAGGACCATCTCTTTGCGAGGGACGTTGAAGTGGTCCAGATGTTTTGAGGCCTGCAAGAGCAACAACAACAGTATTTGGTTCTGAAGTACGACCCCAAATGTGCTTCCCTGCCATAATGCATGCATACCATACATCGGATAGGTGAAGCTCAATATTTGTCAAGGAACATTTACTGGCGGCATAATCCCTGGTAATAAAATGGAGATGCTGAGAGATGATTGGTGCAAGGCGGCAAAAGTTGTCTTCATGATTATCAGTGAATTCAACTTCCTCATCAATACTATCCCTGAAGATCTTAGACAACCCGGCCCAGTCGGGCTTTCCATCATCAGGGAGATCTAGCATAGTGAATATCGTATATAAAGATGGGATAATGAAGCAGGAAGTTAATTACGCAGGAGTGAAAATGATGGGTATTTAGGCAGAAGCGGCGCAAGTCTATGCCTTTTGAATACATCCCAGGGTCGCACTCAAGTCTCCACTACGCGCGACGAGCCTCATGTTGCCAGGGGATATATCTGGTTCAGATATCAGGCTAGTAGGGGTAGCGGTTGATGGGCCGGCAAACGTTCATTTTGGATGCCGCCAAACCTCCAGACCACCAATTGCCGCGGACTTGACTTGGCCGTCTTGGAAAGTGGCGAGTCGGGCCGGCAGAAAGGGGTAGTCTGATGGTCTTAATTGTGGGATAGTATATAAGTATTTTCCTATGAATTCGCCTCTTAAGATAGTAATTAAGTACCTATTTGGCGTCTCCCGACTTTGACGGACTCATGTATCTGGCCCTAGATGGTAGGGTTTTGGAGGGATTGCATCTACTAAGTGTTTACGCTGTATCTAGGTTAAGTTTAGTTAAGCTAGGTACGAATAAACGTTAAAGTAGGGTTTTGACATAGGTCAGCAGCCATAGGATACCACCTACACAAGTAGTCCAAGCCAACAAGTACTATCAAAATATTTCTGTATTATGTGCGTATGTATGGGCCGGGAAGTCAAGCCAGTAGTAGGTCTTGCTAATAGTATACCGGGGTTTTTTTTATCATCAGGTGGAACTATCTCTGTACTATTACTGTATTTTCTCATATAATTCGGCCTTCCTGCCCCCATGTTAATGCCCCATGTTAATGATACGGTAAAAAGGTCCGATTGACGACGCGGTCTATCAGTTCCATACCAGTCAGTACGTTTTCAAGAAGTACGTTTTCAAGAAGGAAACTTTTTAGTATAATATTCAATGAGTGAAGCTGGCCTACATATCTGCCGTCAAGACAAGTGATCGTTCTGTTGGATGAGCAAGGGCAATGAAGCCCAAACGCCAGGTCACGAGCATTTAGAAGTCTGGAGACATTCTCAGGCTTGAGTATCTGCTGTTGAGAAAGACGATTGCTATGAAGCTGGCCTAGCTGTCTCCTGTGAAAACGAATGATTATTTTTGTTATTGTGATTATCTGATCTACGCGTTTGCTACTCAGACTCAACCTGGCGCCAAAATTAGCGTATTTTATGGCAAATTCATCGCGGCAATGAAACATCTTGCAGGCATTGCAGCGACCCCCGCTAGCCTGATACTTTACTCCATACAACAGCCAAGGGGTATAACAAGATAATGGCAAATCTACCTACTAAATTGAGGAAGGTCGGTGTATTTTGCCTAATTAATTTGGCGGTCTGTTAGCAGGAAGCTGTCTTGCCCCAATGGATTGTGATTCCGACAGACCGGGACGTTAGACTGTGTTATTTATGTCCGTGTTATAATATGTTCGGCCCTGCTCCACTCAACCTTGGCCGTTGATGGAAGCCTCGAGGTGCTTTGATCCCAGTGTGAACTTCACACAAGGGACAATTTTTTCCGGTTGCGGGTCAAGAGAAGGGCTATGAGTATATAACCTGGCTTCTGCTCGGTCGGGAGATTTTCTTTTTCCTTCTTTTTCTTTACCGAACTACAATAATACAACACGACGTCTTGATATATTCTCCGTCCGTTACAATGCAGTTCAATATTCTTCTCCTCCTCCTTGCTCAAGGATTGCTTGCAAACGCTAAAGCAACGTTTAATGGCAGAACTAAGACGGGCTTCACTGACCCAACGCCTCTTACCATCTGGGGTGTAAGTTATAACTTATACCCGTCTACAACAGTCCCTTGATATAACATTGATGAGCTCGGGAAGCCGTATTGACACATTGTATTAGAGCTGCACAAATGATGAGTGCAAGTATGAATACTACGTCAGATCCGGTAGCCGGAAGATCAAAGAGACGGGGCAAACCACATATCATTGGAAGGAGTATACGAATACCAAGAAATGTCCAGGTGGTAAAAAGGTAAGCGGTTTTTGGCATCTCATAACGTCGTTGAGATCTTCCCATTTGTATTCGATTAATATTCTGACGAAATGGTCTGCAGTGCAAAAGTCATATGTGTTTAGCAACAAAGCTACATCAGCTGAACTGCGACGTATAAAGCGCAGTGTTATACAGGCACGAAGAAGCACAACATTGGCCGCGAGGGGGACTACCAGCTCTGAAACCGAATTTAGCTGTAGGCTAATCGGGACCAGTCAACATAGTTTTGGAGGAAATATGAAAGACTGCTCCCTGTACGGTTCTCGTGACAATAGAGATAGGTCTCATGGGTGCGAAATTAGGGATTAGTTGTTGGTAGGGTTATTATGTTGATTAATAGCCAAGGAGAGAAGCATTTGTCAATGCTGTATCTAATACGCATATATAGAAAAGGGGACTGTCGAGGATCACTCTAGACCCAGTTCAGCTTGACAAGAGTTGACGCTCTAGTTGATGTACCACGGGAAACACTAGTTGATTACAAGTGATTTTCTCAAGTCTTGTGTTATTTCCAGAAAACCTTGCCCTCCATCAACCTCCTGGCCGTTCTATACACATTCGCCGACTTCAACTCCCCAGCCCCATCAAAGTCCGCATCAACCGTCAACGTCCCGCTGGCATGGTGCACCACCATCGCCGACCCGTCCCCGTCAGACTGTACCACACACTCGGCCACCGTCGTGCCAGGCGTCTTGGCCCCGGCGGCGAGTGCCAGTGCCACCGTGACGGGGATCGCCTTGTGCGGCTGCCCCACGGACATGGCGCGCGCGACCAGGTCCACCTTGGTCTCTGACGCGGACGGCCTCGATACGATGGCGATCTTGGGTACGGAGCCGGGCACGGAGGATAATGAGTCCGCGAGGCCCATCTTCACGGCGGCCTGGGACCGGATCGACTCTAGGCGGTCTTTGAGATTGGGATGGTCGTCGATCTGCTGGGGGGTGAGGCTGCCGTCGACGTCTAGCTCTGCGGCCTGGACGAAGCAGCAGGGGTTGCCGGCGTCTATGCAGGTCGTGCGCACGCCGTCGAACACGTCGATGGGGTTGCCGGTGGGCAGCAGTTTGCCCGTTCGCGACCCGGCTGGGTCGATGAACCGCAGCTCGATCGGGGCGGCGGTCCCGGCGACACCGTCAATGGCCAGGTCTCCGCTCGATGCTGCCTCGCCGTCGGCCATGGGGAAGCGCGCGTGGATGATCTTCTTGGTGTTGGTGTTGTGGATGCGGACGGTGGTGGTTTCGCCCTCGGCCTCGGTGACCGGGAGGAGGCCAGAGTCGACGGCGAATGGGCCGACGGCGGCGGTCATGTTGCCGCAGTTGCTGGAGTAGTCTACATGGGTGTTCTTGATGCCGAGCGACACAAAGGTGTAGTCGACATCTGCGTCTGGATGCGTTGAAGGTCCGACGACACAGATCTTGGACAGACTCGAGATGCCGCCCCCAAGCCCGTCCAGCTGGCGGCCGTAGGGATCAGGTGAGCCGATTGCACCTAGGAAAATGGGGTCCCACTGCGATTTGTCCGTAGGGAGATCCTTCACCTGGATCATGATTGCCCTGGATGTCCCCCCGCGGTAGTATGAGGCTGTGATGCTGTTCTGGCGTCTTTGTAATGGCACACTGGTCGAGAAACGCGAGCATTGCAAGCTCCGAGCCCATGGTGATACTCTCGTTGTGACTGTGAGGCGTGATAGAGACGCTGGCGGCCGAGCCACGGAGCGTATCGTGAACAGCGACATTCTTCTAGAAGGTTTGAATGGAACAATCAAACGGACAGATGATGGATGACCTGCGTTTGCAAAATCGACATTGAAGCTTGATGGAGCTCGGGTCCGGTTCGGAAATGCGACGCCGTTTGGTAAGCCGAATCCACCACCCGGTCACCGAAGCAGGAATTGGTCGGATTTACATCAATTGAAGCAGCGAGCTTGATTATTATTGATTCATATTTAATTCTAGGCGATATCAGCATATACATGAGATTGGAGCCTATTCTCACCCATCTTTGGGTAGAGGGTCGGAATAGAACCAAGGGCTGATGATTTATCCCCCCTCAATGGCTACGGATAAGCATTTGCGGGGATTCTTACATCAATTCCAGGCAATTAAAAGAGTCTACACGGAGCTCTCATCATCATCATCATCATCATCATCATATTATCATCTGCTCATACTCTGCCGGGCGTGTTTATATTGATATCCAACCCCTCATTCCTTGACCCTGTCCACCTTGCCGGTCTTCACGTCGTAAATATACCCGGTGATGGGCACATCAAGCACAAGAGGGCTCTTCTTGAGGATCTCAATATCATCCAGCACACTCTTCCTCAAATCCCCAAAGGGCAAGAACGCGATATGGTCCGCGTTCTCATTCAGATCATCCCGGATCTTGGCTTTGATGTCGGTATCCGAGAAGGTGAGCATCCCGCAGTCCGTCTACTCTTGTCAGCGACTTTGTTCGAGGCAAAGGTAAGAAGAAGAGGGTAGGTTCGCCTTACGTGATGGACAATGACAATCTCTCGCGTGCCCAGCAATTGCTGCGAGATGACGACCGAGCGCAGGGCGTCGATGGTGCGGCCGCCGGCATTGCGGATGACGTGGGCGTCGCCCTCTTCCAGGCCCAGGACCTTGGCGGGGTCCAGTCGAGCATCCATACATGCTACAACAGCGACCTTGCTATATCGTGACATGTTAGATGTCAGAATATCCCAAGCGGGGAGAGTGTGGTATATGCTCACCGGCCAGGCGGGAGTGGCAGATCTCCCTTGGTAAAGGAGGCCACATATCTCTCATTCGCCGCCTCAAACTCTGGAACGACGGATGGCATGGTTTGATTAATTTGGTTGTCTCAAGAATTGTTGACGGGGATTTAGGAATCAATGGTAGAAGAGAACATTGGCATATTGATTGAGCCGTAATGGCTGTTTAAGTAGTCTACCTCTGCCCGATATGAAGACCTAATGAGGCCGAGATCTGACGTATTAAGACATCTCTTGCCATTTTGGGC